CACAGTGTGCACACACACACACAGAGTTCACACACACAGCTCACACTCAGTAGCACACCGAGCACAAGTGTGCACGCACAGAGGTCCCTCTCACCCACCCAGCTCCCTCCCCGACCTGGTGATCTTGAAGATGCGGAGGAGGCGGATGCAGCGCAGCACGGAGATGCCCAGGGGGGACAGGGTGCCCAGCTCCACCAGGATGAGCTCCAGGATGCCCGAGCACACCACAAAGCAGTCGAAGCGGTTGAAGAGGGACATGAAGTACTGGCGCAGCCCCAGCGCGTACATCTTCAGCAGCATCTCGGCCACAAACAGCGCCAGCAGCAAACGGTTGGCATTGTCTGGGGGGGAGATGAGCCTGTCAGAGCAGGGACCTCAACCCAGCATGGCCAGGCAGCCAGGGAACGAGGGCAGAGCTGCTCACTCTTCTCTGGCTCACTGAGCCCTGAACTGCTGTTTTTGGGGATCACACTGGGAGGAAGATGAGAGGGTGATGTGCAGCTGCATGCTTGTGTGTGAGCACACATTTGTACAGTGCACATGAGTCCATGAAGGGTGGGGACGTGGGCTGTGCATGGGTATGTGGGGCTGAACTCTGTGTGTGTGTGCATGGGGCTGAGCTCTCTGTGTGTGTGTGTGCACACATGTGCTCTGTTGTGCCTCTGAGGGTGAGCTGTGGGTGGGTGGGTGCACACCTGTTCTCCACACGCCTCTGGGTGTCTGTGTGTATGGGGCTGAGTTCTCTGGGTGTGTGCACACCCGTGCTTCACACACCTCTGGGTGTGTGTGTACATGGGGCTGAGCTCTGTGTGTGTGCACACTTGTGCTATGTGTGCTTTTGGGGGTGGGTGTGAGTGTGTGCAAGGGGCTGAGCTCTGTGTCTGTGCCCATGTGTGCTCTGTGTGCCCTCTGGGTGTGAGCTGTGAGTGTGTGCACACCTGTGCTCCCCATGCCTCTGGGGTCTGTGTATATGGGGCTGAGCTCTGTGTCTGTACATGGGGCTGAGTTCTCTGTGTGTGTGCACACCTGTGCTCCATGTGCCTCTGGGTGTGTTTGTGTACATGAGACTGAGCTCTGTGTGTGCGCACTTGTGCTGTGTGTGCCTCTGAGTGTGAGTTCTGTGTGCATGCACACCTGTGTTCCTTGTGCCTGTGGGTGTGTGTATGTGCGGCTGAGCTCTGTGTGTGTGCACACTTGTGCTCCATGTGCCTCTGAGTGTGAGCTGTGTGCACATGGGGCTGAGCTGTGTGTGTGTGTGTGTGTGTGTGTGCACTCCTGTGCTCTGTGTGCCTGTGGAGGTGTGTGTGTGTGCATGCACGGGGCTGAGCTCTGTGTGTGTGCACACCTGTGCTCTGGGGGTGTGTGTGTGTGTGGAGGTGCAGTCAGTGGGGCTGCATGCACAAATGCATGTGGCTGCATGGCGTGAGTGCATGGACAGAGATGCCAATGGACACACACTGTGTGTGCTCACCATGCAGGATCGTGTCCCTTAGAGTACAGAGCGTGGTCAGTGTGAGCTGTATGACAGCAAGGATCACACACACATGCTCAGTGCAGGCTCTGAGTGTGCCTGAGAGCCTCTGTGCTGTGCCAGTGTCACTTTGCACCCACAGCAGGAGCTCACACAGCTCTCTGAGGCACCAGAATATCCTGGGCCCTCCTCCTCTCTCAGCCTCTTTGCTCACCTTGCACCCGTGTCAGCCACTCTGGCTGGAAGTGGTGCTCAGAGGCGATGGACAGGGTGTTCAGTGCCACCAGCAGGATGACAAGCCAGTAGAAGAACTTGGACTTCACCACATCCCTGCACTTCCTACGAAACATTCGGTTCCAACGCCTCCACTGACGGCTGGAGAGATGGCAAAGGAGCAGGAGAGATGGCAAAGGATCAGCAGACATGGCAAAAGATCAGGAGAGATGGCAAAGGATCAGCAGAGCCAGCAGTGGGTCAGACCCAGGCCTGCAGGGCAAAGCCACCCCTGCTCCCTCCCTGGAAAGGGATGAGGACCATACCCTGCCCCTGGAACTTGGTGCAGTCACTCAGGCACTGCAGCTCATTCACCCTCCTGGCTCAGTTTTGGCTCCAGCCCCTCTCACAGGGGTCTTGCAGGCACAGTGTAATTGCAAATTACACTGTAATTGAGGAGAAAACTGCAATTGTAGTGTCCTAAATTACACAATGTGCTGCACAGGCCATGGGAGGATGTTGAGAGCCTGGTCCCACAGCAAAGACATTGTCCACCTTGAGGAGCTTTTTGCCAGTACCATATCCAAATTCCCTGTTTGTTACTCCAATGTTTGCATCTCCCCCCAAGCACCAGCCCCTGCCAAAAACTGGGGGCTGACCAGGAAAGCCTGGCCCAGCTGGTGAGAGACAGTGGAAGCCCACATGCAAGCAGATGGTTCAGAGCATACTTACAAGAAGAGAATCCACTTGTTCATGCCCTCAATTTCATACAAGCTCTCTGTCTCTGACCCTCCTTCATCCGATGGCATCATACCTAGAGGGAATGACATCACAGGCCTTGGAGCCCTTGGGAAGAACATGTGGGAGGGAACCTCTTCCAGAAGTACACCAGGAAGAACTTCCCCACCAAGCAATGTGAATAATCCCAGGGAGTCAGCAGTGGGATTATTCAGAAGTGAATAATCCCCACCAAGCAATGTGAATAATCCCAGGGAGTCAGCAATGGGATTATTCAGAAGTGAATAATCCCCACCAAGCAGTGCCACCCCAGGGAGTCAGCAACCAAAGTTTGGGCAGAAGGCTTTGAGGGTCAGGGGCAAACCAAGCACGAGGTAGCAAGTATTCCAGCATGGAGAAAACTGGGGCCAGTAGGGATCTGAGCAAAGGATGAACAGAACATGGGCCACAGCTCTGGAAGAGCTGTTTGTCTGTCCCACTGTTTCCCAAAGCTCTTTGCACACATGCATTACTCAGCTTGAGGCATCAAGAGTGCTTTCACCAGGCAGGGTGGCACAGCAAACCCTGTGGCTCTGGGGTAGAAATCCCCAGGCTTTGCTGAGCTTTTGGCTAGGTGCCTCTACATCCACCTCCTCCCCTGGGCCACTTTTAAACCCTAAAAACTGTCAAGTGATGGCAAGAAATTAATGCATCTATTAGTGAGAGCTTGTGGCCCTGATTGTATGACACACTCCTCATGGCCTTTTCAGCCCCTCTTGCCAAAGGAGACTCAGGCCTTGCTTCTTGCTTGTGGTCTGCTGTGGCATTCACATTCTCCAAAAAAATTCATTCACCCAGGATTTTTCTCCCGGGAAGCTGAGAAGCCTCAGAAAAAAGGAAAACAATTCTTATCTCATTTGCTTCTCCTGTGTTTTGCTCATGTGGAATGCGTTTGGAAATTGTTTACCCACAGGTGATTGTTTGATTGGATTCTGGTGTGAATTGTTTTGACTCTTTGGCCAATCAGGACCCAGCTGTGTCAAGACTCTGGTAAGAGTCACGAGTTTTCATTATTACCTTTTTAGCAATCAGTATCTTTTCTGTATTCTTTAGTATAGTATAGTATTCTTTAATATAATATATATAATAAAGTAATAAATTAGCCTTCTGAAAACATGGAGTCAGATGCATCATTCTTCCCTTTGATGAGCGGTTGTCTGCTTTTATGTTAGTCTGCAAGTATTAAACACTGTGGTTGAAATGGATTTACCATCAGGGATAAATTATTGCTAGTTTGGGTCAGATTCAACCAAATTATTCAGGAAATGTAAAAAAGGAGGAAGGAAACTGTCCTGTAAAAGCTGAAACTTTTTGTTTGGTGGGTTTTCAGGCAAAATGAGTCTTTGTGATTTCTTCAAAGACTCCCACCTTGCCTCTCTAGGCAATAGGAACCCAACCCTCAGGCTGAGGGTTTGTGAGCAAGCAGAGCTGGTACCTTCTCCCCTGGCCCGATCGCTGTCCATGACCTCTGCGTGGGTGATCCAGTCCATGTAGCCCTTCAGATCCTCCTCCAGCTGCTGCTTCTCCCGCAGCTTCTGGAACGTTCCACGCGACTTGGCCTTCTCGCGCTCCTTGGTGAACTCGCTGGGACAAGGCAAGCAGCAGAGACTCAAGG